GGCCAACTGCTTGTCCCAGACTGTTCCCGACTCGCAAGTTTCACTTGTGGCAGTCCCAAGTGCGAAAATGGCAAGCCGCACTCGTCTTAAAAAATTCACCACGTCCTGCGTCGATCCCAACTGATCTCAGCTGGTCCCAAGTGGTCCCTCACTACTGCTAGTGTTGGGTAGTCCCATCTACAAAACATTTATTTCATATGCTGCATAAAAAAATAAACCCGTTTGTCACGCTCAGATTTCGTACCGTCTCATGCCGTCAACTGTCACCATGTCACGCTGTTGCTGTCGTATACACCAATGGTAGCAAACCTTCACCAAGAAAAGCAGACGTCGCGCCGCAACAAAAAACCTTTCAGCGCTGTAAAAAAGACCTCCACTGCCGCGCCACACGTCCCACCGTCGTGTCGCAGTTCCATTGCCGTGCCGAACTCTCGTCGGAAAATGGCAGCACGTCGTCACTCCGTGCCCTGTTAAAAAAAAGAAAACGCCAGCGCTCCGCCGTGCCGTACCACCGTAGAAAACAAAACGGCGGCGCCTCGCCGTGCTGGACCACCGTAAAAAAAACGGCAGCGCTTCGCCGTGTCGTACCACCTAAAAAAAAACGCCAGCGCTCCGCCNGTGCTGGACCACCGTAAAAAAAACGGCAGCGCTTCGCCGTGTCGTACCACCTAAAAAAAAACGCCAGCGCTCCGCCGTGCCATACCACCGTAGAAAAAAGACGGCGGCGCCTCGCCGTGCTGGACCACTGTAAAAAAAACGGTAGCGCTTCGTCGTGTCGTACCACCTCAAAAAAAAACGTCAGCGCTCTGCCGTGCCGTACCACCGTAAAAAAAAAAACGGCAGCACTTCGCCGCGTTATACTACCGTGACGTGAAAACGGCAGCGTCACTCTTCAAAACAAAGTGCCGCCAACGTGCCGTAAAAACGGCAGCGTCACCCCTCAAAATAAAGGTGTCATGCCGACGACGTGGTATTTCGGCAGCATAACCCCACAAAAATGGGTTATGGTTGCCGAAAATATCGGCCGGCACACGTCCACCAGTTGTCGTGCTCCCCGCTGCTCCTTGCCACGCTCTGTTACCGCTCCTCACCATGCTGTCGCAAAGTCCCACTAGAGACCATCCTGCCAAGGGGTGGAGCAGAGTGCTCCAGCCAAGGCTATGGCTGTCTCCTCCTTCGTCACTTCGCTCCTCTACAGTCCTCCAGCTCCGCCGGCAGCACTCCTGCCTCCTCTCCAGCACTCCAGCAATGAGGCAAGTGTGCTGTCGCACGCTGGCAGCCGGAGGCAAGTGTGAGGCAGCTGGGGGACAACTGCTTCTTTTGTAGTGGCTGAGGAGGGCAGCAGCAGCCTCATCTGGCCCAAGGCAAAATTCGTCACTTGCTTGGGGCCGTTGATCTGAGCCAGATCAACGGACTGAGGTTGTCTCACCTCAGCCACACACTTAGGGTGGCAGTTGTACTCAGCTGCCCCCCTCTTTTTCTCCCTTTTCCCTGCACTCAGCCCCACACTGAGTGCAGGTTCAGCGGGAAAAAGACTGTTTTCAGCCAAGTTCCCCTCATTACCCCTTCATTTCCCCAGCTTCTGGCCTGAGTCACATTCAGGCCAGTTTGGCCTGTATCTGATTATAGCCGCGGCCACATTCGTGGCCGTGGCTTTTTCCTTTTCCCTTTTATCTTCTTTTCTCTTTTTTCTCCCCTGCCCTCCCCTGAAAACGGGGATGGCAGTTGTCAGATTGGGAGAGGTAGGGAAAGAACTCGTGAAAATTCACGAGTTCAAATCCCGACAGGCTCAGAGCGGGGTGCAAAAAGTACCCCGACTTTGAAGAGTTTTAGAAAAATATTCGCTGGATAAAAAAAATCTAAAAAAAATCACACACATGGCCTACGTGCCTGACTACCTACAGAAAAACAATCAAGATCAAAAAAATTGTTTTTCGCCACCAAAACAATAGTGGCGCAAGCTGAAAAATACAGCTTCTCAGAAAAACTCA